CACAAGAATATAAAGGTGCCATTACATAGGAGCGTCGAGCATAGTGAGCTTACTATTCGCTAAAAACAAGTCATGTGATTAAAAATTGACTAATAGCAAGCACACGATGCTCGACGCTCGACACTGCCATGTACGGGGCACAATAAAAGGAACAGGGAATAGAGAATAAGAATTTCAATTTATCAGAAACTATGTATTTCCACAATACATGATTTCTGATAGGTTGAAATTCTAATTCCCTGTTCTCTGTTCGCTGTTCCTTTTATTGTACAGAGCCCCTAACAGTACCTTAAGATATTCCATTCCCGAGGATGCAGTTTTCTAAAACATACCAACTGCTTTTTGACCAATCGACACATTGCCCCAAATTATAAAAAGAAATATGATTGGCATGATTGCTACCACTATGTGGAGTCGACTAACTGGCAAGCATTTGACTGGCTGTTCAGCTTCAGCGACTCGTGAAAATGCACCTTTAATCGCTTAATGTATATACTTCAATTTACTGCAACCGCATGGCGATTAATAATTATTTTTTTTCTAGACTACAGTTGTAGTGTCTCTTTACAATATTTACAATGAGTACAATAAAACAAGAGACACATCGGCCAGGTGCACTTAAACAATCTAATAAACAACACAAGACTGGAAGACATCGCAGTAAAGGTGCCATCAATAATGATTTTAAAAGTAAGTTTTTTGTACATGTAATAGTGACAAATTTGTAACAAAACATTATGTTTTATTCAATTAACAATAATAATCCTTTCTTTCTGAATAAAATAACAAATTCTATATACCAATATTTAAAACATGCTTTTATGGAATATTTTTTGTTTGTTTTTTAAAAGAATATATGTCATTTTTTCTTGCCTAGGTAACCAAAGTATTATCGGAAAGTCGTCTAAACGTTTTGAGAAAAATCTTCGGAAGGATGCACGTAGAAATCAATTGTTGCAACACAGAAAAAAGAAACGTGAACAAGTATTGGCACAGAAAAGAAATCTTGGTGGCTTTTCTTCAGCACCTATCCTTATCTGTGTTATACCATTGCAAAATGACATAGATATCAAAAACATTGTATCTGTTGTAACTAATGTGGATGAAACTGCTAATGTTGCTACTAGTTCAAGTGGAATAACCCATATTAGGTACATCATGGATGAAGAAACTTGTTTTCTATATTATTAAGTAAAATAAAAAATTTAACATTTATTAATTTTTTAAATTTATATTTGTATTTATTTAGTATACCAAGGCTGAAACAGCGGTTTTCTATTATTGTACCACCAATAGATGACGTTTTTGCGACATTAGATGCAGCCAAAGTTGCTACCACAATACTCTTTGTAACTTCTATTGTAAATCAAGGAAATGATAATAAGCAAGGACAAATTATAGATGATTGGGGCAAGGAAATTATTACATCTTGTCTTGCTCAAGGTTTACCTTCTACCATAGTTGCAGTGCATAATATTCAGGCGCTTCATATTAAGGTAAGGCATATATAATAATACAAAAATATTTAATAATTCAAAAACCTTTGAAAATAATGTAAATTCTATTGCAAAAATATTGCAAATTCTACGTTGTCAAACATGTTATTTATTATTCTTTGATACATTTTAAATGATATAGAAACGTCAAGAATATAAACAATCTATACAACGTACAATTTCAAAATGGCTTCCTGCAGAAAAAGTATTTGAATTAGATACTACAGCTGATTGCTTAAATATGTTACGGCATGCTGGATTACAAAAGCAAAGAAGTTTATTTTATAAAGACATAAGACCATATCTTTTGGCTGAGGAAGTCTCCTTTGAATGTGATGGAGTATGTAAAATTTTAAATACATATTTAAAAATATATAAAAAGTAAATTGAATGCCATTTAATTATCACATAATGCTTATCTCGACAGGATTCTCTTGATTTTGGAACTCTCATGGTCAGTGGACATTTACGAGGCGCGACACCATTATCTGTCAATGGTTTGATTCATATATCAGGTTTTGGAAACTTTCAAATGTCTTGCATCAAAACGTTGAGGGATCCATATTTAATTGAACATGAGCAGAAGAGACATCTTTCTGATAGTAAAATGGAATGGAGAAATGAAACCGAGATTTTAACTGCAGATCCAGAAAAACAGGTTTGTTACACATATTTTAATATTAATGAGTTGTATCTTTTAAACTAAAGGTCACCAGGAAAAAGTATTCTCAAACAAGTATTAGTTATAGTTAATTTTTCGATGTTAAAAGTGAACATTTGAACAGTATCTGTATTAGCAGCAAGAAAGGTAGAGAAAGTAAAAAATTATTAGGGCACAGATATTTGTAAAGACATGTCAAAATTATTTATAATAATTTGTATTTGATTTATTTATGCTAATATATTTGTATGTAATTTTAATAGCAATAATAATAATGTCAGTACATGTTTAAAATATTAAAATTTGTAGGAATCTCTTGAGAGCGAATATATTCCTGATCCAATGGATGCTGAACAAACATGGCCTACGAAAGAAGAATTGGCTGAAGCAGCAAATAATAGAAAAAGAAAAATTGTAAAGGTTGTGCCAAAAGGAACCTCTGAATATCAAGCTGCATGGATACCAGATGAAGATGGAGGTTACATATTTTACTCCTTTTTTTCCTTCTAGGAAATTATTTAATCCTACTTCAAAAATATATGTTGTTCCTTTGTGTGTAGAAAGCTTGAGTATATGTTCAGAAAATGAATCAGAAGACAACATGGATGTGGGAGAGGCAAAATCTGAAGCAGCTAGTAATGAAGATATGGAAGATGACGAACAATATGAAACTATTACGATGTCGGAAGCATTGGATGAGGAACGTTATGATCAAGATATCGATATGAATGAAGAAAAGCAAGCAATGGAAAAGTTCAAAGGTTCACTATAATTATATGTATTATTATACATAATGTACGTCTTTCATTATCGTTTTAATAATATTTTAATAAAATACAGAAGCAAAATTGGACGTACAATTTCCTGATGAAGTGGATACACCTCAGGACACCTTGGCTAAAATAAGATTTCAAAAATATCGAGGTCTTGAATCGTTCCGTACTAGTCCATGGGATCCAAAGGAAAATCTTCCCATTGATTATTCTCGGATAATTGAATTCGCCGATTATGATCGCAGACGAAAACGTATTTACAAAGAATGTAAAGATATCGAAGGAGTCATGGTATGTATTGACTATATATATATATAATATATAT